TACGCAGTAATCGTCTCCACTCGCCGTTTAGTCAAAACCCTCTTCTTATCTCGGACAGCGCAGTTGTACAGAGCTTTGATTGCGTCCAATCTCACCTGATTTATCTCCGCACTCACGATTTTCTCAATTTCTGCGCGATCGTACGACTTTTGCCTAACTTCAGTTGAGTTGTAAATCCAACCCCTGCTCACATACTCCTCTGTCGTTTCGCTCATGATTTTTTTGACAAAATCCACTACTATATTCGGACTTGTCAACTGCTTCAACTCCCAATATCTGTCCAATATTGAGTCCACGAACAATTTCACAAAATCATTTCCTAAATCCAGTTTAGACACGAGGCTGTCAAAGTCAGTAACGCATTCCAACAACTTGTCGACTGCTTGATCGTTAAGCTGCTGCTTTCTCGACACCTTCTCGAAAATGGATGCGCACATGCGATTTATGAAAAAGGAATACAGCTTTGCTGCATTCCCGTCCCCGAGTTTCCCGTTCCAGAATGTCCCCGTGAAGTAGTGATACCCGAGAAATTTTTCTGGCAAATACTCGTCCTTGTCGTCTTTTTTGAGCACCTGTCCTTGGGACACGAGTGAGAAGAGATTAATCGTCTCTGCCCAGGTGGTTCGCCAGATGGATTTGTCACTGCCGCTCTTATCTTCGGTCGATTCGACAGTTTCGAGCACGGTGTTACGGTTGAGTCTTCTGTTTCTGTTCTTCATGCAGTCGCTCAAATCCAGCAGCTTCAAATCGGCTTCCTCAGACTTCTTCGTCTCCTGCTTTGACTTGACGGTTTGGATAGTTTTGCTAACGACTTGCTGATTCTTCTTCACTTTTCGCACATTCATCGACGTGCGAGGATTCTCGTCTTGAGTGTGTTCCTTGGTGACCTTGTTACTTTCCAGTTTACTCAGAAAGAAAGCTTTCGCTTCCTGACTCACCTCCGGCAAATTAAGAATCAACGTTTCGAGCCCGGAAATCTGACTACTGCAGTCGTGGCACAAACTAAAAAGGTTTGCTATGCGGTCGTTGCACTGCTCGCGCAGCAAATACCGTGCCAATGCTAATAACGGTCAAGACTAGTCCAGTCGCTGGCTTCTTTGAAGGTCTCCTTAAAAGCCACTGCTGTTTCGAGTCAGGTACTTCAACGATAAGCAGAGGAAGTGCAGCATCTTCTGATCCTCAGCTGCATCACGAGTCAAGCCTTCCTTCAAATGTTCGTAGATGTTGTCCGCAATATCGAGGGAACTTAAATTATCAAACGTCAAATTAAATTTCCGTACGAAGTACGCAACTTTGACAAACTCTTTGGTGAAGAACGCTTCGTCTGCGTGATGCAGACTCTCCAGCTCGTCTAGTGCAGCTTGCTTGTCAAAGTAGTACGTGAGCGACTTTTTGAAGTTGTTCGTCGCGAATTTCTGGAATTTCCGGATCGCGATCGCGACGAAGAATATGACTTCGAGCTTCGGAGGCGGCTGCCAGGCCTTCGACCGCCATTTGCCAAGAGATGTCAGTGCTTTACTGATGCCTAACATTACTGATGAGTGCGAGTCTGGAACATATAAACAGAAAGAAAAAAAAAGGGGGGGGGATTGGACACACAAATGTATTATCTCGGCATGCGGTGCTTCAATTTAAAATGAGGCTGTGTTTAATGATTTTTAGAATGAACACTATGATTGGGTCTAGGATTTACCTGGAAATAACAGAAGCACAAAGTTTTCGGATAGAAAAATCGATTAGACCTGGTTTCCAGACATGAAATTCAGCTGTTCCAGAGATATAGGACTTACTTTTTGAAGTCGCAAGCTGGGCGACCACTACGCGAAAAACAGTAATCTAGCGTAAGACTTTTACTCTAACACGCGCCGCTACTATCGAACGCCATCTTCTAGAAAGTTTCGCAGGCAGTCGCGGATCTCTGAAACGGCTGAATTTCGGGTTTGCAATCCATGCCTAATCGATTTGTACTGGTACTTTTGGGAACGAAGGCAGGTTAGGGTCGGGGTTAGTATTACAGGTAGGGTTTTAATAATGGTTTCGCTCTTTGTTTTACTTTTAAAATTTAGAATTGAACTATTAAAAAGAACTCTAACAATAAAAAGTTATCTTTCCGGAAAAGTATGTACTTAGCGAAACGAACACTTACCAAAATTCGGGGAACAGAATCGGTATCACGCTGTCCGGCTACTTTTCATGAGAAAGCGCCCAATTTTCCGTGAATTTCGTCAATTGCCTATATACGAGAGCACCAACCAAACTTTCATCCGTGGCATGTCCCAACAAAGCACCTGAATCAGGAACACACGCATGCATGAGCGTGCCGCAAGTCACTAATGCTATAATCGCAAGAAAATAATTACCCAGTAATTATCCTCGACGATCACAGTTATCAAGCAACAAATTGTTCAAAGCACTATGGTGGTTAATCTCGCTAAGTGTCAATGTCGATGGACGAGCCACGGCCCACGTCAGCCACTTGACGACTGACGTCTGACGGGCAACTGCAAATTTAAAAAAAATGTTCAAGAAATAAAGACTCAAAAAATAAAAAATGTACAAGTTTAACTGCGAATGAAGCACGCATCGGTTAATTTTCCAATCGGATAACTAATTAGACGGCAAATGAGGCAAACAGACGCGCAAATTAGCTAAAATGCAAACTGTAAAACGTGGAATGAATTCAATGGAACTAACGAAGCGTGCGGAGTCGGACGATTTACGCCTTCACGGTGAGCTTTGACAGAATGAAACAATGGAGAGCTGCAAGAAAAAGACGTGAACTAATGGTAAAGAGACTTAAGATAAGTGGTAGGGAAGTGTGCACGAGTGAATTTTCTTCCGCTGAAGACGACGTTGTGAGCATCGATTGATCTAATTTACTATTAAGTAGCGCTAAAGTATCCAGGAAAGCTGCATTTTAGGTGTTCCAGTGCCATTAAAAAGAATTTAAACTACATTGGTAAATGCGAGCCATGTAAGAACGCAAAAAAAAACAAACAAAACATTTTATTCATCGAATAGACGATAAAAGCTTATCTTTCGGAGCAAAGCCTAATTACTCTCTAATTTCATTTAAATTACTGAAAGCACTCTTTTCAATCTCTTGCGTTACTCGATCAAAAGCATGTTTGAAGAGAATTTTTTTCTGGGAGTAAAGAAACACCTCCTCTTCCAACGAAAAACTGGAGGTTGCGTAGAAAATCCCTTTCAGAGGTATCCCAGCGTCTGCCAAAGCAAGAAATGCTGCATTTATTGCGCGGAACAGCGTATTTCTATGGGCATCCCTTATGTAAAATTCAATTTGAATTGTCTTAAACGGATCCAGTTCAACTTGAATCAGCTCGCTCAGGATTGAGTTTATGACACCTTCAAAGTACCTTTCTATGATTTTGTTGTTGAGTATGGTTGATTCATACCATTTAACTTCAGTTAATGCAAAGCTTTTTAGCTGGCTCTGGCGGTCTGAAGGCCCATTCACAATGCAAAAAAACTGTAGTGTCGTGTGTGAATTTTGCTGAGCCTGTTGAATTTTCGATCACGCCTGTGTTGCACTCGACTTTCATAGGCCCGGATTTTTAAATAAATTTAAGAGACCAAACCCATTCTTTTTTATTGATGGCGATTAAAAGAAAGAAGCAATACCATGCAAAGTTCCTAGAAGAAAAACCAAGTTTCTTCTTTGTAACCAGATATGAAAATACTTTTATTCCAAGCATTAGCCCGTAAAATTCACATTTGCATGTTTTTTTGGTGTAAAAATGGTTTAAGAAAGCTATTCCCGCGTCCAAAGAGGTGGTTGCGATGATACTGATTATAAGACAATAAAAGTTGTCGGAATATTCAAAATAGCAAAAACCAAATTTACTACTGATTCTCAGAATACTCCCAGGGCTTAGTATCAAGAGGGCACACGTGTTTGGACTTGAGCCACTGAGATATACAGTGCGTGTGAAAGGCGTGTTCGCACTTTCCCCAGGACACTGCACATCCTATCTTGTCCAGCGCTGTTGCTGTTTGGCATAGTTGCGTCCATAGGTAATACACCAAAGATGTCTAGCGCGTCTGGAGATGGAAAGATAGGTCGCTGGTGTCTCGGTGCCCGTAGGTAAATTAATAAAAATAACAACCGAATAAAACAACGTACCCCATGTTTTTTTATTTACCTTAGAAATTAGTTTAGAATAAGCTGCAACATTTCAAGTATTATATTAGAGTGTTTAATTTATTGCAAAGAAGCGGTATATTGTCCTATCTCAACCACAGAAGGGATCCTGTTCCTGAAAATAAGACCAATTCCGAGTTTACTATAAAATAATCGGAGGGGAAAAATGAATCCTTATGAGATGATGTCTCAAAATCTGCTTCTCTACGCTCTATTCCGGCATCTTGGTTAAAAATAACTCATTTATCCTGTTCTTCCTGTCCCGGCACTCTCTCTCTCTTGTGGTAAGTATCTGAACAGATCCGAAGCAAGAGTCACATTCTCATCTAAAGAAGAATGTTTTGTATCTCTGGCTAAAATGGGTCAGAACCAGTTTTTTGGCCCCAGACAATTTCCATATCTGAAGCGCATCGTTCACCGTTGAATGTTTTGTACTTTTTGCCCTTTCCACCAAACTGTCGTCGAATGTTGATTCGTGAATAACCAAATCACAGCCCATTGACAGATTTACAAAGAAGTTGTCGAACTTTGTATCTCCAGAATACGCAAGTGTAAAGTCGCCGGTGTCTACTTTTACTCCACAGCTATCGATACAGTAGAGCACACCACAGACGCTCAGCGTCAACCCAAAATCAAATTTCAATACAAATTCTTGAAACTGCTCAAATGATGAATTCGAGTCATGAAAGTTCTTTCTTAGCTCGACTGCCTCATTTGTTTCGTAAAAATCGAGAAAACTTTCAGCAAAAAACATTTCAACGAACACCTTAATACATCTGGGCCCAAATATCTTTACTGTTACCAAACTCTATACACTTCATTAAAACGGAAACAAGCCCGAGATGATCAGCATTGGAGTGGGAGATAAAAATGAAATTCAGGGCTTTGATGACTTCAAAAGACCCGTATATTCTATTTATCTGATATAACGAGTCTTTACCACAATCTAGTAAATAGTTGAAATTCCTTGTCTGTACTAAAATTGATGACACATTTCTATACTTTGAGGGTAGGGCGCAGCCTGTCCCAATAAAATGTATAGCAGGAGTCTTATCCCCAGGACCCAAGTAACACAAGATATTCCAGCAACGTTTAGGAAATGTTGATGAACAATGTTGCATCTATGTTTAAATGTCCAAAACGTCAACATTGCTCAAATGTTGCGAAGGAACATTGAATTTACGTTGCAAATCGCTACTTATTCATTACATATACGTTGGAGATACGTTTCAGGATTTATGTTGCTGCAATGATTAAAAACGTTGCTTCACGGGCACCTAATCTGGGCCTATATTGGCATTACGGAAAAGCGTAGGCTTCACTGGTCCTGATCTGGACCGATATTCGACCAATATTGAATTATTTATTTCATCCTTTCGTACCATATACTTTACCTCTCTACTCGGACATTCTCATCAACAGGA